GTGGTATAGCTGGGTCTTATGGTATATCATTTCCCCAGTTTTGGAGGAACCTCCATATTGATGTCCATAGTGATTGTACAAGTTTGCACAGTAACCAGCAATGGTGGAGTATTCCCCTTGCTTCACATCCTTGACAGTATCAGCTGTCACGTATGTTTTTGATATTAGCCATTCTGAAAGTTGTAAGATGGAATCGCAGAAGTCATTTTGATTTACATTTCTCTGATGGCTAAGGATGTTGAACATTTCTTCAGGTTTTTCTCAGCCATTTGAGATTCTACTATTGAGAATTCTCTACTTAGAGCTGTACCCCATTTTTAAACTGGATTATTTAGTTTGTTGATATCTAGTGTCTTGAGTTCTTTATATATTTTGGATATTAACCATCTGTCAGATGTAGAGTTGGTGAAAATCTTTTTCCATTCTGTATGCTACCATTTTGACCTATTGACAGTCTCCTTTGTCTTACAGAAGCTTTTCGGTTTCATAAGATCCCATTTATTAATTATCAGTCTTAGTACCTGCACTGTCCATGTTCTGTTTAGGAAGCTGTCTCTTGTTACAGTGCATTCAAGGCTATTCCCCACTTTCTCTACTGTCAGGGTCAGTGTATGTGTTTTTATGTTGAGGTCGTTCATCCACATGGATTTGAGTTTTGAGCATGGTGATAGATATGAATCTCTTTGCATTTTTTTACATGGTGATATCTGATTAGACGAGCACCATTTGTTCAAGATGCTTTTTTTACCATTATATATGTTTGGCTTCTTTATAAAAAATCCATAGGTGTGTGGATTTATGTCTGGATTTTCAATCAGTTCCATTCATCAACTTGTCCGTTTTTAATGCCAATACCTTGTAGTTTTTAATTACCTTAGCTCCTCAGTACAGCTTGAACTCAGGGATGGTGATAGTTCTCCAGGAGTTCTTTTATTGTACAGTATTGTTTTAGCTATCCTGAGTTTTTTATTTTTCTGTAAGAAGTTGCATAATTGTTCTTTCAGGGTCTGTAGAATTGTGTTGGGATTTTTATGAAGATTGTGTTGAATCTGTGCTTTTGGATAGATTTTGGTAAGATGACCATTTTTTACTCTGTTAATCCTGCTGATCCCATGAGCATGGGAGATCTTTCCATCTTCTGATATCTTCTCCAAATTCTTTCTTCAATGACTTGAAGTTATTGTCATGCAAGTCTACTTGACTGGTTAGTGCTACCCCAAGATATTTTATATTATTTGTGACTATTATAAAGGGTGTTATTTCCCTAATTTCTTTCTCAGCCCATTTGTTGATTGTATATAAAAGGGCTACTGACTTTTTTGAGTTAATTTTGTATCCAGCCACTTCACTGAACGTATTTATCAACTGTAGCATTCTATCCCTGGTAGAATTTTGGGGATCACTTATGTATACTATCATATCATTTGAAAATAATGATACTTTGACTTCTTCCTTCACAATTTGTATCCCCTTGATCTTTTTCAGTTGTTTTATTACTATAGCTAAAACTTCAAGTACTATATTGAATAGATATGGAGAGAGAGGACAGCCTTGTCTTGTTCCTAATTTTAGTGGAATTGCTTTGAGTTTCTCTGCATTTAATTTGATATAGGTTATAGGTTTGCTATAAATTGTCTTTATTATGTTTAGGTATGTCCCTGTATCTCTGATATCTCCAAGATTTTTATCATGAAGGGCTGTTGGGTTTTGTCAAAGCCATTTCAGCTTCAAATGAGATGATTCTGTGGATTTTTTCTTTCAGTTTGTTTATATGGTGGATTACCATGATGGATTTCTATATGTTGAACTACCCCTGCATCTCTGGGATGAAGCCCACCTGACCATGGTGGATGATCTTTTTTATTTGTTCTTGGATTCAGTTTGCAAGTATTTTATTGAGTATTTTTGCATCAGTGTTCATGAGGGAAATTGATCTATAATTTTTTTTCTTTGTTGAATCTTTGTGTGATTTTGGTGCCATGGTAACTGTGGCCTCATAAAACAAATTGGGCAATGCTCTTTCTGTTTCTTTTTTGTGGAATAATTTGAGGAGTATTGGCATTAACTCTTCTTTGAAAGTTTGTTACAATTCTACACTAAAATGGGGTTTTTATGCTTGGGAGACTTTTAATTATTGCTTTTATTTCCTTAATGGTTATAAGCCTATTTACATTGTTTATTTGATCTCGACTTAACTTTGGTACGTGGTATCTACAAGAAAATTGTCCATTTCTTTTAGATTTTTCAATTTTGTTGAATACAAGTTTTTAAAGTATGACCTAATGTTTCTTTGGATTTCCTCAGTGTCATTTTTGATTTTGTTAATTTGGGAATTCTCTCTGTGTCTTGGATAAGGGTTTGTCTTACTTGTTGATTTTTCTCAAAGAACCAAGTCTTTGTTTCATTGATTCTTTGTATCATTCTCTTTGTTTATATTTTATTGATTTCATCCTCCAGTTTATTTACTATCATATACTTCTCTTGGATATGATTGCTTCTTTTTGTTATAGAGCTTTCAGGTGTACTGAGATTGCTTCAGTTTCTTTGTGTAGACACTTAATTCTGTGAACTTTTCTCTTAGCACTGCTTTCATTGGGACCCATAAGTTTGGGTATGTTGTGCATTTGTTTTTATTGAATTCTAGAAAGTCTTTAACTTTTCTTTATTTCTTCCTTGACCCATTTTTTCCTTCAGTAGAGAGTTGTTCAGTTTTCATGAATTTTTAAGCTTTCCATTGTTTCAGTTGTTGTTGAAATCCAGCTTTAACCTCTGGGAGGTTTAATATGATGCAAAGGGTTATTTCAGTTTTCTTATATCTTTTGAAACTTGCCTTGTGACCAAGTATGTGGTCAGTTTTGGAGAATGCTCCCTGGAGTGCTGAGAAGAAGGTGTATTCTTTTGTGCTTGGGTGAAATGTTAAATAGATATCAGTTAGGATCATTTGGTTCATAATGTCTGGTAGTTCTACTATTTCTTTGTTTAATTTTTGTTTGGCAGACTTGTCCATTGGTGAGAGTAGGGTATTGAAGTCTTCCACTATTAATGTGTTGGTCAATGTGTGATTTAAGTTTTTTTTTAACTTTAATTTTTATTTTGCAATACAATTCAGTACTACATATCAGCCATGGATTCCCTTGTTCTCCCGCCTCCAGCCCCCCTCACCTTACCCCCAGCCCACCCCCCATTCCCACCTCCTCCAGGGTAAAGCCTCCCCCCGCGGACTGAGATCAACCTGGTAGACTCAGTCCAGGTAGGTCCAGTCCGATTTAAGTGATTTAAGTTTTAGTAATGTTTCTTTTCACAAATGTGGGTGCCCTTGTGGTTAGGCATAGATTTTAAGAATTACAATGTCCTCTTGGTGGATTTTTCTTTTTATGAGTATGAAGTATCCTTCCCCATCTGTTTTGATTAATTTTTGTTTGAAGTCTGTTTTATTAGATATTAGAATGGCTACACCAATTTGCTTCATAGGTCTATTTGCTTGGAAAATCTTTTGTCAACCCTTTACTTTGAGATAATGTCTATCTTTGATGTTGAGGTGTATTTCTTGTATGTAGTGGGAGGATGAATCCTGATTTTGCATCCATTCTGTTAGTCTGTGTCATTTTATTGTGGAATTGAGCCCATTAATATTGAGAGGTATTAATGACTAATGATTATTAATTCTTGTTATTTTGTTGTTGTCTTTGGTGATGGTCATGTGTTTGTTAGTGTGAGTGTGTGTGTGTGTGTGTGTGTGTGTGTGTGTGTGTACATGCACACATGCAGGCACTTCCCTTCTTATGGTATTTCTGGTGTGAGATTATTTCCTGTGTTTTCATGGGTGTAGTTGATCTCCTTGGGTTTGAATTTTCTTTCTACTGTCTTCCGTATGGCTGGATTTGTAGATAGACTTTATTTGAAATTGACTTTATCATGGAGTATCTTGTTTTCTCCATCTATGGTGAGGGCTAGAAGAGCTTGCCAGATCTCCAGAACTGGAATTACAGGAAGCTATGAACTGCCATGTGGGTGCTGGGAATGGAACTCAAGTCCTCTGTAAGAGTGGCAAGTGCTCTTAACTACTGAGCCAACTATCCAGCTCCCTATAACTAATTCTTTCAGTACTTACGTAATTTAAATTTATGTCTGGCCAAGTAAATGTGAAAAATTCATCAGACAGAGCTAATCAAAATTGCAAAAATATTTAATATGTGAAAACATGTAATTGAGTAATAGAGAAAATAGAGTCATATTTATGTTAAGTGTAGTTTATTTAAAAAGGTTTAATAATTCTTGAATTTTTCATGGAAATAGCATACTTATGAGGGTAATTAAAGAAGTCAGACAAGTTGGGGTTCACAGTTATCCTGACTTCTGACGAAACTGGAGGTATTGATTCTTGATGCTGAGGAAACTCACGGTTTGCAGTGGGTTTGAGTTCATGAATATATTTTGTATTTCATGTAGAGGTGGGACACCATAGAGGAAAACACAGCCCCTTATTACTCTAAGGAGCCAAGTCAGAGCCAGTAGTGCAGATATCAAGGTGATTATCTGTCAATGATGTCTTACTATTTGTAAGTTTAGTTTTATAACAAAGAACCAGAACTGAGCACATTTTATCTTGTTTCTAAGCCTAATTTTCCTTCATAAAGTAAGGAAGGGGGTGGTAGAAGACATTCTTTTAGTAACTTATAAAATATTTTAAGTAAATTTGATTTCATAGATGTGTTTAACTTTAAACAGCTGACTTAATTTTTCTTAGTTACCTATCTGTAAATTACTCAAAGTCCAAAAGGACCAAAATTTGCTAAGTAAAAATCATTTATTTCTATCCCATATACAAATAGAAGTACATTTTGAAACATTTGAGGTGTTTGCATGAGTGGCAGACTTTCCTTTTTTGTGTTATGTATATCTTAACTAAAGATTCTGAGACTTTTTCCTCTGCATTATTTGTTCTAAATTTATATTAGCCTTACAGATAATTAATATTTAAAATTCTATTTCTAATGCAGGCTAAAAATCTCATAGAGAGATTTTTTAATCAGCAAGTAGAAGTCCTGGGCAAACGTGTGGAGCCACTGCCTGAAATATACTACATTGAAGGAACCCTTCAAATGGTGTGGATTAACCGCTGCTATCCAGGGTACGGGATAAATGACCTGAAACATCCAAGGTGCCCTGAGTGCTGTGGTATGTAATAAACTACGTTTCATGTTTTATGTGGATACAAGTTCACTTACTTCAATTATGTTTAACTGAATGTTTTCGTCTTTTAAAACTGTTGTTTAGATTTTAACTTAAATAATATATTTGAAGAAACTGCATTCTAAATATGTACAAAGAAAAAACTGCCTTAACTTTTAAAATAACATATTTTATTATAGTTTTGAGAATTCTATGCAGTTTATCTCAGATCCCATTCCCGCCTCCTCCTCCTGACCCTTCCCACAGATACTGTCCCTTTACTCCTCCACTTTTTGTCCTCTTCAGAATTGAAAAAGGAGAAAGAAACTGTCTTGTCGCAGATGTCCTGGTCCTCTGGCTCTTCCAGCCTTCCTGCCTCCTCTTCTATAATGTCCCCTAGGTCTTAAGTGTAGAGGGTGTTTTGTAGATCTATAATGTTTCAAGATTAGTAGTTGTGGCGACATGAGCGGTTGTGGCGTTTGAGAATTACATCTATCAGCTGCAAAGAGAAGCTTCTTTGATGAGGGGTGAGAGCACATTCACCTGTGGATAATAAAGGCGAGTGTTTAGACAGCAGTTAGAAATTATACTGGATGAGCAGAGTGACAGTAGTCGGTTCTCCTCCATGACCTGTGCCTGAAGTGTGTCTTCAGCATTAGTGCACTAACTTCTTTTTCTAGAAGGCACCTAGGGCACAGCCTATAATGGTTTGGGGGTCTATTGGGTTCTCCTGACCAATAATTTGAAAGCAGATTTACCATGCCTGGCATTGGGGGTTGTGTTAACCTATGCTTTGAGGGAGAGTATTGCCACCCCAAGTGATCTAACTTCATTTAAAACGCATCTCTCTCTCTCTCTCTCTCTCTCTCATATATATATATATATATATATATATATATATATATATATATATATATATATATATATATAGCTTAATATTATATGTCATTTGAAGGAAATCTAAAATGATTCCTTATGGCATTGTCAAATATTCTTAGTGTTATTTATCTTCCTGTAACCTTTTCACTCTCTGCTCCACCCCAGGTTAGTCTCCCTGACCCATTTTTCTCATTTCTTCCTTCATAGCAACTGTGTCCTACTATTCCTCTCTCTAATGCCCTTGCCTCCTACCTTAGTTCCTTTTTACTTTTCTATTATTTGCAGTTGCTCTAGGTTATATACTCAGATCTAAAGATTTGGAGCTGATATCCACAGAGAAAACATGAAGTCTTTGTCTTTCTAGGTCTGGCTTACCTCATTCAGTATATTTTCTAGTTTCATCCATTCACCTAAAAATTTCATTATTCCATTTTTTCTTTATTCTGGGTAGAATTTCACTGATTATAAATACTATATTTTCATTACTCATGCTTCAGTTGGAGGACGTTTAAGTTGTTTCCACTTCCTAGCTATTGTGAATAGAACAGCAGTGGACATAACTTAGCAGGTATCTATGAATTATGATGTGGAGTCTTTTGGCATATGCTGAGGAGTGGTCATATGGTAGTTTTATTTTTAGCTATTTGAGAATTTTCCACACTTATCTTCATAGTAGCTTTACCAGTTTGCAGTCCACTATTGGTGAAATTATTAAGGCCACTCCACGTAGTTAAAAGGAAGAATTATTTAGTGGGTAACTTACAAATGAAGGGATAGGTAGGTTGCAGGGTCTGGGGAAGGTGTATTGCAGTCCAGCAGTGTTCTCTGGAGCTCTGCTTGGCCCACCTCCACCATCCAGGATCCAGGAATAGAGAGCGAGCTGGCCCATCTGGGTCTCGGGTCCCCAGGGTCCTTCCTTGGCCCTGCCTTGTAGGCGTGACAGTTGCCGAAGCCTCAATGAGGGTTGGAACTTCCAGATCAAATCTGGAATGGCTACCCACTAAATCTCCCCCTTTTTGTCTAAATAAGAAGGTTCTAACCTAATACAAGACTATATACAAAGGAATGGTTATCAAATATTGTCCAGGAATAATGAGGGATAATGACCTAGATAAGATGGAAGTACAACCAATGCGAACAATATCAAGCAAGAAACACATACTAAAATCCAGAGATGTATAGAGCATAGGTAAATGGCATGTTACAAAGATCATTCCAAAAGGTGTCCTATCCTAAAGAACCTGAATCTAATACTTAATATGTTCTATCTAAGATAAGACTCTTAATCTCAGGGTCGTGGGTTTGTGCCCCACGTTGGGCGCCAGATATTGGTGAAATTATTAAGGCCACTCCACGTAGTTAAAAGAAAGATTTATTTAGTGGGTAATTTACAAATGAAGGGATAGGTAGGTCGCGGGGCCTGGGGAAGGTGTATTGCAGTCCAGCAGTGTTCTCTGGAGCTCTGCTCGGTCAACCTCCACCATGCAGGGTCCAGGAATAGAGAGCGAGTTGGCCCATCTGGGTCTTGGGTCCCCAGGGTCCTTCCTTGGCCCTGCCTTGTAGGCGTGACAGTTGCCAAAGCCTCAATGGGGGTTGGAACTTCCAGATCAAAGCTGGAATGGCTACCCACTACATCCCACCAGTACTTGCATCTATGATAACATTTGTTGTCAGTTGTTTTCTTTATCTTACCTATTCTGACTGGGGTAAGATGATGTATTAGGGTTCTCTAGAGGAATGGAACTTATAAAATGAATATATACATATACGTGTGTGTGTGTGTGTGTGTGTGTGTGTGTGTGTGTGTGTGTATGTATGTATGTATGTATTTATATGATATTTATCAGAATGGCTTACATGCAGTAGTCCAGCTAGTCCCACAATGGCTATCTACCAATGGAAGGCGCAAGAATCAAGTAGTTGTTCAGTCCATGAGGCTGGATGTCTCAGTTGCTCTTGAGTATACATCAGAATAGAAGTAGGCTCTAATACTATTGAAGGAGTGGACTTGACAACTAGAGCAAGCAGGCAAAGAGCAAGCACTTCCTTTTTCCGTGTCATTTATATAGGCTGCCATTAGGTGTGGCCCAAATTAAAGGTGGGTTTTCCTACATCAAAAGATCTGGATTAAAAGCTGATCTTCCCACCTCAAATAATTTAAGCAAGAAAAATATTCTCTCAAAGGTGTACTCAGACACTTTGGTATTAGTTACTTCCAGATGTAGACAAGTTGATAACCAAGAATAGCCATCTTCTCAAAGTTGTTTTGATTTTTATTTCCCTAATTGCTAAGCATGGTAAATATTTCTTGAGATATTAGCCATTTTTTATTTCTTCTTTTGAATCTTCTCTGTTCAGAGATATAGTATACTTTTTAGTTGGGTTGCTTGTTTTCTTGTTTGTGTCTGTGTCTCTGTGTGTGTTTTCTGAATTTCAATCCTCTATCAGATGTAAAGCTGGAAAATATTCTCACTTTGGGGGCTCCTCTTCACTCAGTTGATTATTTTCTGAATTTCAATCCTCTATCAGATGTAAAGCTGGAAAATATTCTCACTTTGGGGGCTCCTCTTCACTCAGTTGATTATTTACTTTGTTGTACACAGTTTTTAGCTTAATGAGACCCCATCTGTTGGTCTTAATTCTTGGGCAAATAAGGCGCTTTTAGGAAAGTACTTTCCTACTACATTGTGTTATAGGGTGCTACTTGTCTCCTTGTTTCTGCGTTTTAGGTTGTTGTTGGTTTTTTTTAATTTAACTTCTTTATTGACTCTAGGAATTTCACATCATGCACCCTAATTCTGCTCACCTCCCAGTCACCCATCTCCTCTCCTCATCTGAAGTCTTTGTTCATTTGTAGTTTGTTTTTTGTGCAAGGTGATAGATATGGGTCTAATTTAGTTCTTCTACATGTACATGTCCAGTTTTCTCAGTACCATTGGCTGTCTTCTCCAGTATGTACTTGTGTCAAATATCAGATGACTGTAATCACATGAACCCATATTTGGGTCACCTGTTTTCTTCCATTGATATAAATGTCTTTTGTTTTGTTTTGTGTTTGTGCTTGTACTATGCCATTTTTATTACTATAGCTATGTAGATCCATTCCTTCATTTCAGGGATAAAGCCAACTTGATCAGGATGGACAATTTGATATATGCCCCTGTATTTGGCTTAAAAGTATTTTTGATTGACTTTTGAATCTATGTTCATTCAGAGATGTTGTACTAATTTTGTGTGTGTGTGTGTGTTTGTTTGTTTTAGTTTTTTCATTTTTCTGGTAGAGTTATACTAGTTTCATAGATAAGTTTGAGGGAACACCTTCTGTTTCTATTTCTTTGAGTAATTTAATAAGTATTGGTTGTAGATCTTCTTTGAAAGTTTGGTAGAATTCTGATGTGTATCCATCTAGACCTGGGCTTATTTTAGTGAGAAGGCTTTTTATCACTATTTAGATCTCCTTATTTGTTAATGAGTCAGTTTAAATTGTTACTCTTCTTCCAGCTTTTGGTGGTTTGAATGGATTTAAATGTTTGTCCATTTATTTTAGGAGTTCCAACTTAATGAATTATAGGTTTTTAAAGTATTTCCTCAAAATATTTTGGATTTTTGTGGTGTCAATTATAATGTTTCCTGTTTTGTCTCTTATTCTATTAATTTGAGTTCTCTCTTTCTTTTGGTTAATTAGGCAACTAATCTGTTGAACTTGTTTATTTTCTCGCAGAACTACTTCTTAGATTTATACTTGATCCCTTGTTCTTTTTCATATATTAATTTTGTAATTTTTGTTCTGATTTTTATTATTTCTTGCCATTTACTGAAGTTTTGCTTGATTTGTTCTTGTTTTTCCAAATTCTTGAGTTGCATTATAAAGGAATTTATTCATGCTCTTCCTGGTTCTGTGATGTAGGTGCTTAGAGATGTAAATTCCCCTAAGACTGTTTGTAGTATGTCCCAGTGGTTCTTCTATGTTGTGTTTTTGTTTACATTTAGTTCCATAATTCCTTTTTTATTTACTGAGTTCCTCTTTGACCCATTCATTATTCATTATTGCATTGTTTAATCTTCATGAATTTGTATTTTTACTAGAGATGAACTTGCTGTTTGATTATAAGTTTTATTGCCTTGTA